ATTAAAAAAAAAATATTTGAAGATATAATAGCCTAAAATGTACTGAGTATGGAAAAAGACAAAAACCTTCCAATTCAAATAGAACTCTCCAGAGATGAACTCAAAAGGAATCCACATACCCAGACACGCTATAATCTAACTGCTGGAACTAAAGAAAAAAGACCTTCAAAGCAGCTGAAGAAAAAAATGATATATTCTCTACGGAGAAACTATCTGATAAATGACTGTACAAACTTCTCTCCCTGGAAACCGTAGATGCCAGAGGAAGTGGCACAGCATTTTCAAAATGCTTAAAGAAAAGAAATGAACTGTCACCCAGAATTCTATAGGCAGTAAAAATATCCTCGAGGAGTGACGGTGAAATAAAGACATTCGCAGATGAAGGAAAATGAGGAGAACCCGGTGCCTGCAGACCTGCTTTAAAAGAACCGCTGCGGGAAGTTCTCCAGACACGAAGGAAATGATACCAGCAACATCAGGAATGAAGGAGCAGCAAACAAAGTAGTAGCTATCTGGGTAACTATTCTTGCCCTGTCTCCCACCACCACCACCACCACCCCCACCCTCTGGAGCACTTTAAAATGTATTTGAACGTTCTAAGCAAACATCAAAAAGCAGTCTTTGAGGATTTTTTAATGTATATAGATGCACTAAAGACAACTATTACAAAAAGCAGTCATTTTCAACCCGTGTGCCGCAAGAATTTTTAAAACATGCAAATCCCTGACTAATCAGTGAAGGGCATTGACCTTTTCCCCCTGAGACTGTCAAATAGAAAAATGACAACAGCCAACACAACCATAGCCATAGACACAAAATTATAGCTCGCTCTTTCTTTCTTTTCTTTCTTTCTTTTCCTTTCTTTCTTTCTTTTCTTTCTTTCCCTCCCTCCCTCCCTCCCTCCCTCCCTCCCTCCCTCCCTCCCTTCCTCCCTCCCTCCCTCCCTTCCTTCCTTCCTTCCTTTCTTTTTCTGTCAGACTGGCAAAAAATATCATCTAGTTTTTGGTGTGCCATGGAATTTTAGCAATTACTTTGTGTGCCGTGAGATGAAAAAGGTTGAACATGGCTGATGGGTGGATCTATAGAGTGATGGGGTCTCCATTCCACCTGAAGTGGTACCACATTGATCCGCAGCTGTCTAGGGGTGGCTGACTGCCGGTCTCAGAGGTTTCCAGCCTCGTCCATCGATTGTGTAAAGCCCTGCATCAATTTTTCACCTCACGGTTTCACCGCCATCGGTGACCCCTTTCTTAATTAGCGATTGCAAAACCGAGAGACCCTAATTCACTCATGCTTCTATGACAGTTGTTACTCTTCAATGAAAAGAAAACTTTCCAAGCCAGGTATTTAATTACTCAGATGTACACATCATAAAGGGAAGGGAGGGTAAGTGCTTGACTCTTTCCTCATGTCCCCCAGTTTTCCAGCAAGTGAGCGAGAACCTGTGTTTTTAAATGGTAGGTGAGCCAAAGGAGAATGCTGGCTTACTCTGAAATGGATACAATTCACCCACTTAGATAATTAAAGACCAATATCCACATAGTTAAGTCACACGGGATCTTTAACCGCAGCAGGGAGCGTGTAGCATGGCCGTCACTTAGCATGTACCTCCTATAATGTGTCCCACTTGCTTTTTATTGCCCTTGGATTACTCTCTAAGGTAGACCCATGAATACACAGAGTGTCTCCCCAATGTGTACACACACTTGGAAGAATTATAAAGGCAGTTTTAATTAAAAGACATTCTGTTTTTAAAATGGAGCTCTCGGCTGTTAAGGTGTGTGTACAGTTTTTTGGGACACCCTGTAACATAGATGTAACATACCTGTAATTCTCCCCTTAGATTCTAAGATCCCCCCAGCAGGAAGCAGAGATCAAGCTCAGACACACTAAATCAGTGGTCGGTAAACTGCGGCTCTTTGACCTCCCGAGTGTGGCTCTCCCACAAAATACCACGTGCAGGCACGCACGTACAGTGCGATTGAAACTTCGTAGCCCATGTGCAGAAGTGGGTTTTCGGCCTGGGCGAGTCTATGTTGAAGAAGTGGCGTTAGAACACTCGGGGGGCCAAAGAACCACATGTGGCTCATGCGCTGCGATTTGCTGGCCACTGTCCTAAATGAACTACAACAGAAGTACGTCGTTTTCATGAAGACGGAGCTGAAATTGAAGAAGGAAGCCCCTGCCTTTCCCAAAGCCGAAGCAAAAGCTTTTGAAGGCAGCGGAAGCAGCGCTGAGAGGCATCCACAGCCACAAAAGAACCCAAGGAGACTCGCCCATCACCCACCTCTGGTGGCCCAAGACACTGCGCCCAAACATCCTCAGAAGAGCATTCCCAGGAGAAAACAAGCCTGCCCACTGTGCCAGCATCAACGTCCCCCTGACCACCGAGCCCACTGGGGAGAAGGGAGAAGACAGCAATACACTGTGTTCCCTGTGGAAGTCAAGGCCAAGGAGCACTGATCCAACAGGCAGTGAGGAAGCCCTGTGACACTGAGGTGGCCACAGTCAACACTCCGATCAGGCCTGATGGAGAGCAGAAGGCATATGTTCCACCAGCCCCCCACTAGGACGCTTTGCATGTTGCTAACATAACTGGCATGATCTAAACGGAGCCCAGCTGGCTAATTCTAAATATAAAAATGTTTACAGTGTTTAAGAAAAAAAAAATGTCCTTGGACATCCGAAGACAAAAATGAAATCCTAGCAGTTATGGTCTTCCCCTTAACCTCTCACAGTTTTAAGTCATTATACATTTTTAGGGGGTTTTCTGTTTTGTTTTGTTTTGTTTTGTTTTTTTTGTTTTGTTTTGTTAATATATTTTTTATTGATTTCAAAAAGGGAGAGGACGAGAGAAAAAATCCTCAATGATGAGAATCATTGATCAGCTTCCTCTTGCACACCCACTGCTGGAGATTTAGCCAGCAATCCACGCATGTACCCTGACTGGGAACTGAGCCCTGATCTCCTGATTCAGGGGTGGACGCTCAAACCACTGAGCAACACCAGCGGGGCTCACTCTATGTTTCTATAAGCAATTACCATGTGCCAGCCACTACACCAAGCACTTTCAGGGCATTACCTCACCTGATTCTCACAACAGCTCCGGGAGCAGGCTCTCAGCACGGTTTCTGGAGACCAGGGAACCTCTGTGCAGAGAGATCATGCACCTCACCCACATCCTGCCTGCCGCGTGAGGGTAAACACGGACCAGGCCAGGCACGCCAGCTCCAACTGCACCCTGCCCAGCCGGCTGCACGCACCCGTCAGCAGGAAGGCGGGTTTCGGCCACTGTGCTAACCATTTGGTAATCGAGCGGCTGGACTGTATTTCTGCCACTGGAGACCCGGCAGGTGAAATAAGGCACCAGGAGAAGGCACAGGAGAGAGTTATTGGCCCTCTCTGTCCCGCTGGGAGGGTAGAGCCATGACAGCTCCCTGGAAAGACATAAAGAACCCAGGAGGCAGCCACCTCCTCTTCAGGGACTTAAAACAGAACCGATGGGGTGAGGGAAAATCAATGTATCCCGTTGTTGAAGTCGCTGAAACTTATGTTTTGAAAAAATGGATGACAGGAAAGAATGGTCACAGGAAAGAGGACATCTCAATTAAACATGTAAGAGGAGAGAGAGAGAGAGAGAGAGAGAGAGAGAGAGAGAGAGAGAGAGAGAGAGATATGGAGGGGGCAGGGGAGAGATAGGACTGGCATAAAGCAGCCCCAATACTAATAGTGTTTCATTTTGGGCAGTTTCATTTCCCTCTTTATACTTTCCTATATTTTGTAAATTCTTTTAATGATCAGAAGAAAGAAATGTTACTAACATATGTGGACACAGAAAATAAATGGGTGAATATGTCCTGAGCCAATACAATGGCCAGGAATCCAGCAGTCCAAACACTCGAGGGGAAAGCTAAGGAGAATCAGTGAGCAGCCACCCGCACGGCCAGCAGCAGGCACAGGGCAGCTTGCTGGGAGAGATGGGACAGGACGGGGCGGGGAAGGCATGCTTGAAGGTCACAGCGGCCGCCGTCTGTGAAGTGGTTGTGGACACAGAGATGCTGCAAGGAAGGGGCTGCACGTATCCAGGCTGAGGAGTATGACGCTCAACACAGAGTGCTCAGAGGCAAGGGGGGGGGGGTATAGAAAACAAGATGGGGGTGGGGTGGGAGGGTTTGGGGGGGCAGGGTGTCTGTCCTCACAGAGGAATATTATACAGCAGGTAAAAGGAATCAGGATGGTCACACATAAAAAAAACTCTAGCTTTCTCTTCTGTTTGAATGTTTTTCAAAAATATATCCTCCTAATATGTGTATAATTAATATTGAAACATATTTTTTAAATATATTTTTATTGATTTCAGAGAGGAAGGAAGAGGGAGAGAGAGAGAAACATCAAGGATGAGAAAGAATCATTGATCAGCTGTCTCCTGCACGCCTACTGGGGATTGAGCCCACAACCCAGGCATGTGTCCTTGACCGGGAATCTAACTGTGACCTTCTGGTTCCTAAGTCAACGCTCAACCAGGGTGTCATGCCGGCCAGGCTAGAAACATCTTTTTTTTTTTTTTTAAAGAATTCAAAATAAGAAGGAAAGCAAGCGCATAGACCTGGGGTGTCGAGTGGGAGCATCACTCAGAGGAGAGTCTGGATGAGCCTGGAACTGGCTCAGCTCCTTGGGAGCTGCGTGACCCAGGATGAGTTCGCCTCCCTCTCTGCACCTCGGATGCTTTACCTGTTCACAGGGATCAGACACCGGCATTTGCATCTCTATTGTCAGAACTAAAAACAAAGTTCACCACAGCCCGGTGCACTCAGGAGAGTCCTAACGAATGGCAGCTGAGCACCGACACAAGACAAAAGTGGTAAAGAACAGAGTCTGGGACACAGCAGAGAACACAGGGGCCTGTGGGGGAGAAAGCCAGGGCTGAGAACGGCCAGCACAGGGCCGGGGAGGGAAGGGGAGAGCTGAGGGGTGGCCGGAGTGAATACGGGGTCACTTACTGCAGTTCTCTTCGTCGCTGCCGTCGGGGCAGTCCTCGAACCCGTTACACCGGAAGCGGCCGATGATGCAGTGGATGCCGCTGGCACAGGGGAAGAACGTCGGGCTGCATCTCGACTTGGCCTTGGCTGCGGGCGGACACAGGACACACAGCGAGACGTCAGGGGGTGACGTTTCCCGACACGGCACACCCACCCTGCTAACCCTGTGCATTTACCTGGAAGCCTCCCGTAGCCACTTACCACCCCCTCCCACCCCGACACCCCCAGACTGGAAGCCCATGGGCATCGCCCTCCGGGAAGGGAGCGGCTGCTCCCGTGGCTCCCCAAGTCCCAGGGAGGCGACAGCACCTGCAGCAGCAGGGCTCCCTCAGCCGGTGCCCCACGGGAAGCACCGGGTGAGGAGATGGATGATGGGTGGAGCTTGTTCTCAAGGTGCTAACGAGCCATTCCAGATCCACCCCCTGGCTGTCCCCGTAATCGCCCACATGCACGGAGCGCTTCTGACACTAGACGGAGCGGCCAGCGCGCCACGCGGATCATCTCTTAGTCCACCCAGCAGCCACCCAGGGGGCGGTGTGAGGAAGGGGTTAACTCAACAGGCTCTCCTCGGAAAGGCCAGCTGGCAAGCGTGGTCCCTGCTTGGCTGGCATCTGGGAACCCGGGTTTTGGCAGGGCTCGCTCCATTCTCTCACAAGAGTGGCTCGTTGCGCCCGGGCTATTCCTGCAGCAGCGCAGCGTGCACGGAACACCTGCTTTTATTCCGAGAGTTTGGGAGACGGTGTCTGTGTGGCCAGCTCCCAGGAAAAGCCCTGGACACCGAGTTTCTATTGAGATTCCCCAGAAGAAAAGGTTACACGCGTGGCCACCGGGGGGTGGGGGGTAGGGAGGTGTTACGTGCCAGCAGGGGGGTTACGTGCATCCTACAGTGATGTCCCGGGAGAGGAAGTTTAATCTCGGCTTCCTCTGGCCCTCCCTCTATTCACCTTCCTCCTGTGCTGTCACCAATGACAGGCTGAGCTCTGTGACTCCACCCAGCACCTCACTGGACCTCGGGGCAGTCTCGGGGACCCAGGACAAAGATGGGTCTGGTTCTCACCCCCATATCCCAGGGGTGCTCGGAGAGGTGACGTGACTTGCCCAAGGTCACCCAGTTAGAAACCCTGGCCCCCGGCATGAGGACCGGGCACTCGGACTCAGAAGCCAAGCTCTCAACCAGCTCCGCCGTGTTGCCCGCCCCTCACCCCCACCCCGACAGAGGCTGTCACTTCTCCAAACAGAAGCCAGGTTCCTGCTCAAAGAAATTCTTCTCCCACTTCTGCCGCACACACACAGTGTTAAGAGAAGCGGCTGCGACGTGGGCCTGACGGAGTGTCCCGCTAGCCACACGGCCCCGCCGTGTAACGCGCTTTCCCGTTAGCGGCGCTGGCTGCTTGGCCCGGCGACTAACGAGGTGTGAGGCGGGATCTATTACTGCGTCCCAGGTAGCTGATCCCAGCAAGCATCTCTCTCGTCGCCTGTCTGGGAGGCAGGACGCAGGATCCTTTAAACGGAAGGGCAGTTTCTTTGGAACAAACGGGCAATAAATTGTTCCTGTTCCTGCCATCAACCACATGCCCCCATTTGCAGTATCTGATCCACCATCCAAAGGGTTTGAAGGCCTGGGTGGGATATGGTTCCGTGCTACCCTGGAGCTTCTGTCAGTGCTAGCGTGCCCTTCACAAAGCACAGATTTGGGACAGAGTTCAAGTTGTGGCTCCACTTTTAATGGCCTGGGGCACATTTCCAAACATCACCGAGCCTCTGTTTCCTCAATAAACTGCAGCTAACACCTACTTCGTAAAGCGTCAATGCAATCTATACTAATAAAAGGATAATATGCTAATTAGACTGACGTCTTCTGGATATCCTTTCGGACAAAGCCATGGTGGTGGGGGCCAAGGCAGAGGTAGTTAGGGGAGATCAGGCTGGCAAGGGACAGTAGTTAGGGGTGATCAGGCTGGCAAGGAAGAGCAGTTAGAAGCAATCAGGCGGTCAGGGGAGAAGTTAGGGGTGATTAGGCCAGCAGGGGAGAGCAGTTAGGGATGATCAGGCAGGCAGGCAGGAAGGTGAGCGGTTAGGAGCCAGTGGTCCCAGATTGAGAGAGAGAGAGATGTCTAACTGTCGGTTGCAGGATGGTAGCAGGATTGGGCCTAAACTGGCAGTCGAACATCCCCCAAGGGATCCCAATCAGAGAGGGTGCAGGCAGGCTGAGGGACCCAACCCCCTCCCCACCCCGAGTGCAAATTTCATGTATATGTATGTGAAATGCTTAATACAGAGCATGGCACACAATAGATGCTCAATTGATGATAATGCTTAAACTATTTATCATCAATCAACATCTTACAGAATTCTAAAGTTGATATCTGGGCTGCTGGATAACTCCTTTTCTGATTACCACAGTTAACAAAGCTCCTTACGAAAACTCTCTATGAACTGACGTGAAGTGATCACCTGGAGGTATTAGTAAGTGCAAAAGCAGCGAGTGAAAGAACACCTACAGTACTTCTACCCTCCGCATAACAAGAGAAGGGGCTATATGAAAATATATCTGCACCGCCTCATCTGTGAGAAAGAAACACAGGAAGGATAAACCAGAAACTAAAAACACTGGTTACCCACGGGGTGGGTGGGAAGGGTGGGAGATGGGAATGGAATGAGCTAACAGGGACAAGAAGGCTGCCCATTCCCCTGAGTCTATCTGTACAACTCCGACTCTTGGAACCATGGCAGTATCTCAAAAACCCCAAAAGCAAACAATTAAAGTCAACCATGAGAATGTTAGTGTGTGTGAGTGTGAGTGTGTATTTGTGTGTGTGTGTGTGTGTGTGTGTGTGTGTGCGCGCGCATGCGTACACGCGCGCGCCTGTGCAATACAAACAGCAACAAATGCCCAACTATATTACAGATGAATAGCAACATCACACTGAAAGGGGGAGGAAGAACTAAAATGAGTAAGTATGAAATCATTATTCCGACTGGACGCTAAGGCTAAAAGAAAAAGAACTGTACACAAATAGGCATTCCGGTTGTACCTGTTTGTCACAGGGTTCGGCTGAGCGGTTCTGAAAGGAGCTTTTGTGTGCACCAGGTGGAACAAATGCAGCAAGAGCAAGGTGTTCTACCATCAGAGGGAGATGTTACAAATGAGGCGTGGGAAGGCCAAAATGAGCCCTGAGGCTTTGGGCTGCATTTGAAGGCATCAGAATGAACTCGAAGTTAGGAAGGAAGGAAGGGAGGAAAGAAGGAAGGGAGGGAAGGAGAAAGATAGATGATAGATTGATAGATAGATAGATAGATAGATAGATGACAGATATGGAAGGGAGGAAGGGAGGGAGAAAGGAAGGGAAAAAGAAAGGAAGGAAGGAAGGAAGGAAGGAAGGAAGGAAGGAAGGAAGGAAGGAAGGAAGGAAGGAAGGAAGGAAGGAAGGAAGGAAGGAATAGATAGATGGATAGATGATAGATTGATTGATAGATGATAGATAGATGATAGATAGAGATGATAGATATGAAAGGGAGGGAGGGAGGAAGGCCTGGCTTCCTTCTCGAGCCCATGAGGCACGGGAAGGTCCTACCTCAGGACCTTTGCACCTGCTGTTCCCTCTGCCTGGAATGCCTTTCTCCCAGGAGTTGGCACAGCTCACTCCTGTTTATTTAAGTCTCTTTAACCACTGTACTGTCTACAGGAGACACCCCACCTCCCACCCACAGTCACTCTAGCCCTTATTCTGCTTTCCTTTCTTCATAGCAAAATGTCACGGATTTTGTGTAGGGCTGTTTGGCAATGAACATTCACTCACTGGAATACTTGCAGTCGTCACAATACAGTGCCTGCATTTGCATGTCTAATAAATACCTGCTGAACACACAGATGAACCCGTCAAAGGAGAGAATGGGTCTGGGTGATAATAGGTAGCATTTACAGAATGCTCAGAATGCGCTGAGCACCGCGCTCCGTATTTTACAGCCATCATCTCCTTGTCTCCCCACAAAAGCCCATTTTACAGATAAGAAAACCGAGGTCCAGAAGGGAAGTGGCTCAAACCTGCTAATAAACGAGAGTCAAAGCTCAAACTTTGCTCTTGCCTCATCTACCTCCTGATTTCTTTTCTTTTCTTTTTAAAAAAATATATATTTTATTGATTTTTTACAGAGAGGAAGGGAGAGGGATAGAGAGTTAGAAACATAGATGAGAGAGAAACATTGATCAGCCGCTTCTTGCACACTCCCTATCGGGGATATGCCCGAAACCAAGGTACATGCCCTTGACTGGAATCAAACCTGGGACCCTTGAGTCCGCAGGCCAATGCTCTATCCACTGAGCCAAACCAGTTTCGGCTGCCTCCTGATTTCTTAAGGCTCAGCCCAGCTCCCAAGGACTAGACTCCATAAGATAAAGAGAGGAAGGAGAGTGAGGACATGAGTAATTGTCAATGAATTAGCTACCATCCAATTAACCGGCTCTCTGGCCCTGGCCCTGCGCTGTCTTCGGGAATCAGTCATGAGACTTCCCGCCTCTGCGGGGATGCTCCGATGCTGTCTCTGTCGGAGGGAGCCCGTCCCGTTATGATTTACATCTGCGCCACCAAACGCCTGCAAAGGCCACCTCCGTGGCGATCACAGGCGGCCAGCCGAGCACCTGGCGGAGGCTCAGAGGGAAGCCATCACCGACAGCAGCTGTGGGCTGCTCCCCGCCTGCATGACCTGCCGTGGGGCCCGGGGGACAAAGTCTGGCCCCCACGTCCACGAAGGGGAGGTTTCAGCACAGACCTTAGCAGCCCTGGCAGAAGGCGGAAGAAGAAGGACCCTGTGTCTGACATCGCACTGACAAAGGCAGAACGGGTTACTCCATTCCATGGAGTGTATATTCACACCCATCCCTATGCAAGGCGCTGCTCAGTGGACGTCTCAAGGCGGCAGCTTTCACCAGCCAGACAGGGGACAGGGCTCTCCCGGGGCTGGTTCATGCCTGATCGAGTCCTCCCCTCCTCAGAGCCTGGCTGTTACCATTCTGAATTTCACAGATCAGTAAAATAAAAATAAAGAAGTTTAACTAGACGGGAGTGGACAAAGGATGAACACGGTTG